GGGGTATTGAGTACAAGAGTTGGCAGGTCATGTTACAGTTGTATAGGACTTTGGTTCGACCACATTTGGAATACTGTGTACAGTTCTGCTCGCCACATTACCAAAAGGATGTGGATGCTTTGGAGAGGGTGCAGAGGAGGTTCACCAGGATGTTGCCTGGTATGGAGGGCGCTAGCTATGAAGAGAGGTTGAGTAGATTAGGATCATTTACATTAGAAAGACGGAAGTTAAGAGGGGACCTGATTGAAGTCTACAAAATCATGAGAGGTATAGACAGGGTGGATAGCAAGAGCTTTTTCCCAGAGTGGGGGACTCAATTACTAGGGGTCATGATTTCAAGGTGAGAGGGGAAAAGTTTAAGGGAGATATGCGTGGAAAGTTCTTTACGCAGAGGGTGGTGGGTGCCTGGAACGCGTTGCCAGTGGAGGTGGTAGAGGAGGGCACGATAGCGTCATTTAAGATGTATCTAGACAGATACATGAATAGGCAGGGAGCAGAGGGATACAGATCCTTGGAAAATAGGCGATAGGTTTAAATAGAGGATCTGGATCGGCGCAGGCTTCGAGGGCTGAAGGGCCTGTTCCTGTGCTGTAATTTTCTTTGTTCTTTGTTACGAGACGTTGCCATTCTCAACAGGCTACTTACAATCATAGAATCGTAGAATGTACCGTGCAGAAGGTAACCATGTGACGCATCATGTCTTTACCAGCTCCTGAAACAGCTACCCAGCCAGCCTTATTGTCTCTGTAAGTCCTCTAAATTCATCATTTTCAAATATAGATCCAGCTCTCTTTTGAACCCTCCTATGGAATCTGCCTCCACCACTCTCCCGGGCAGCACGTTCCAAATCCTTACAACTCTCTGAATGAAGAAGCTTTTCTACATCTCATTCATCGCTGCCTTGCTGACAATCTTGAAGTTGCGACCCCTGCTTACTGACGTACCAACTAGTGGAAACAAAATATCTTTCTTTACCTTGTCAAAATTATACATGACTTTGAACACTTCAATAAGGTCTCTACTTAACCTTCTCTGTTCCAAGGGAAATAAGCCCAATTTCTTTAATTTTTGTTTGTATCTATTCTTGGTATCATTCTAGTAAACCTCCTTTGCACTCTTCCCAAAGCTTTAACATCCTTCCTTAAATAAGGTGCCTAGAACTGAACACAACACTACAAATGTGATCTGACCAATGATTTGTAGTGTATGGCATCACTGCCTTGCTTTTATACTCTATGACTCAATTTATAAACCCAAGGATACCGTAAGCCTTCTTAACAACTGTTACAACTTGCTTTTCAGAGAATTATGCACTTGAGTTTTCTCTAATTGTATATTTATCTTATCAAGAATCTTATCTTTATCAAGGCTACTTGATGACATTAATCAATTACGTACCTCAAAAGGAAGAATCTGCAAAATTTTAAAGATCCATGAGAAAGATAAGGTATAAAGAACGGCCAACATATCCTTACACAGCCAACTTACAATGGATATGTGTCATAATTTTTAAATTAAATAGTAAAAATTGACTAGCCTTTCTCCGCAATGTGCAGCTGTAATCACCCAGTCGGGTGTGAGAATGGCTCCCCCACAGATATGACGGTTGTTCAAGTGAAGGCTGACCTGCCATGGGAATTCCTTTGGTGCTGCCACTTGTCCACCAACTATTCGTTCAGAAACATTTCTGACGTACATGCGGACTCCACAACCTGGGTGAGGAGATAGAGAGGAGGCAGAATTTAAATCACAGCTGAAAAGATAGACGCCTCTGGAAAGGATAACAATTTTTATTTTGGATTAAAATGGGAAAGCAACCATTTTAAAACCTAGGATTGTTGAAGTATTACTGCATGTTTTTGAAAGAATATAACCAAACACTCATTGTAAACATTGTTTACACAGCTGCTGGTTCCAATAGTAGTTGAAGTGTAGTTTGCAGATGAGCTGGCATCGAAGGGTTGCATACAAATAGAGCTTTGGTTGGCAACAACTTGGTCTATCGACTAGTTACCAGTTATGATGACAAAGACCTCTTGCCTGCCAGCAACTGTTTGATTGATTCTCAGGTGGCTGAACAACTTGGGCTGCAAACAAGTTTCAGAGAAGTCACAAGAGATCTCCACAAGCTCTAGACCTGTGTCTGTTCTCTGCAGTAAAAAGTACTTAAAGCCTGAAGAAGCCAGTTTATTTTTTCCTTCAGCAATTACTGTAAACTGTGTCATCTAATTAATAAGTCATAGCTCTTTTTATAAGGGTGAACCAGCCCACTGCACCTCCTATAAACAAGTGAAAGCATCCAGAGAAGGAAGACTGAAATCAGCATTCTGACCAGCACAAGAATCATGAAAATTAGCTCAGCACCCTCGAAATAAAGCACAAAAGTGCGTTCTCAATGTTTCGCTCTGTCCATTGCACCTATGTTTCTTTTTCCTGTGTGTGTGTGTGTGTGTGTGTGTGTGTGTGTGTATGTGTGTGTGTATGTGTGTGTGTGTGTGTGTGTGTATGTGTGTGTGTAAAGACAGTTTATAAGGGGGTTAGAGTTTTAAATAGTAGTGTTATATGCTGCTGTTTACCTGTGCATAGAATCTATCTATCTGTAACTAGTTGGTCTATTGGACCAAAGTCATGGTGTTAATTTTAAGATTGAATAAGAGCTATTAGCACCATTGATCAGATGGGTGTCAGGGATCATTTAGTGGGATAATCATTCACGGATCACGATGGCTACAGTGAAGTAAAGGCTAGTTAAAACATGACAAGTTATCAACACTGATAACAGGAAGATCAGGTTGTTAAAGCTGCAGCAGCTTTGCTATACAGTCCCAGGTTATTGTCACAAATCCACCTTCTTAACTTCTCGCCTTAACCATCAAGGAGAAAGCTTTAAGTCTGTTCTACTTGCTTCAAATTTTGACTGAAAAGTCTCCTCAATTGGGAGAAGAAAATGATGCTCTACTTTTCCGGCTTCCCCTGAACTTCAATAATTTTGAAACTATCTGATTTTTGCGCCTTGAACCATTCCTGAACTCGGCAAAGTTCCACATTTGGTACAATAATGGCTAATGTAGTTTTAACAAATTGACGCAAAGGAAATTCTTTTTATTCAGAGTGATTATGGTAGTTTAGGGTAGCTGAATTTTCATTGGTCTAATCAATGTAGGAGCTCATGGTGATCAGGTTGGTGTATCACACTCCGTTTGGAAAGCCCCAGTAAAACCCTATAATCCTGCATCAAACACATACACAGCTCATCCATCTATAGCATTAAATAGTAATTCTTGTTAAGAACAGAGACTTGGTCCATGCTTTTTGTCAACCTGTGCAGGTAAATTGGGGAACCCTGAATAAAATCTTTAACTTTTGTAATAACTGCAGGAATAGCATAACTTGATTTCCAGTGTTCTGCCCCCGTGAGCTGTAACAAAAGACAATTGCTGATTTTTTAGATTTTTTTAATATATAGATTTAAGTTTTATTGCTGGGAGGTGAATGAATCTTGAAGTTGAGTCTGGGTTTTTTTTTAAAAGAGATTTTGGCATCTACTTTTAAACGTGGATTATTCAAAAGATTGTTAGTAATAAGCAAGGCAATAGAATGTTCAGAGTGTTGAGACCGATTGCTACCCGAATCTACATGGACAAAAGTAACAACTGTTGGGACAGGATTGGTTTTTGGATCGTAACAACTCATGATTCAGACGTTTAGCAGCAAAGCAATGTCAACTTCAGCTTAATTCCTTAGACAATACGTTCTGGTCAAAACCCCAATAAAAACCAGTTTGATATAATTCCCAGTCTCTTCTGATGTTAATTCCAGATTTCAAATTTCAGAATTCAAGTATCCACATTTTTCCTTTTAGTTTTGTTAAACCTATGACTGATAAGTTTTAATTTCTTGAGCTTGTTCATGTGATGTGATGTCACAGGTTAGGTCAGCATTGCCCTGGAGATTTAATACACTTCATCATGAAGACACTCATTTTATGCTCTGCTGTGGTTCAACAGGCATCTCTCTATTTAGGTTGTTGGAAATAGGTGGGAAGATCAGATCAGACATGATTGAGCATCAAATGGTCTGTATCTGCTACTAATTTGTATGTTCATATGTTTATATAACTGCTATTGATGGAGATCTGTGTGCTCAGTGTTTGGGAGTGCGAGTATTCAAAGCTTCAGGATGCTCTTCCCAGCATGGACCAGCATTGGATTGGGGTATTTTATACACAGGTCTGAAGGGGTTAATACCTGGAAGACTGAAATTAGCACCGTTCTCTGTGATGATAATGATGCATGCACTCATCAGCTCTAGGAGGCAAGAAACAAGCATTTTTTCTTCATAAGAGATAACAAGGTGTAGAGCTGGCTGAACACAGCAGGCCAAGCAGCTTCAGAGGAGCAGGAAAGCTGACGTTTCGGGCCCAGACCCTTCTCAGAAATAGCCCATTTCTGAAGAAGGGTCTAGGCCCGAAACGTCAGCCTTCCTGCTCCTCTGATGTTGCTTGGCCTGCTGCGTTCATCCAGCTCTACACCTTGTTATCTCAGATTCTCCAGCATCAGCAGTTCTCACGATCTCTGAATCAATTTTTTCTTCACGCCCGCTTTCTATGCTCCAACTCTGATGAGCGCAAGACAAAAAGCTTCAAGTTCTTGACCCCTTTCAGTAATGTCTAAGTTGTGTATATGACCAAGCAACCATTGAAGACCATCTTAAGCAATGTCAGATACAGGGATGAGATATGCAATCTTAGAAAAATAAGTCCTCAGTAATCAGCTTGTGAAAAATTCTCAGCCCACATCAGTGTTTATTGAGGTATACTGCACACCTTCAGTTTCCCTACTTGATGAGAAGGAGTTTACAAGAATACCTCAAAGAAGACAACGATTTTGTTTGAGGTTGATGAGATTTGCTGGTGAACCAGTTTACATATAAGGTAAACTGAAAAGGACAGCTGTATTCCAGAGAAATTGTAGATAATCTCACAGGATGAGATGTAAATTACATTGAACAAATTGAGTCTTACATTTAGTTCACTGCGAAATAATATTCAGCAATTCAGAACAGAGTCAAACAAATTCATCAAGACCAGGAATGCAACAAAATCCAACAGAAAGTGCAAAGATAAAGCAAAGAATTGCGGATGCTGGAGATCTGAAACAGAAAAACAGAAAGTGCTGGAGAAACTCAGCCAGTCAGGCAGCATCTATGGAGAGAAAAAAAGAATTAATGTTTTGAGTCTAGTGACCCTTCTTCAGAACATAAGCACAAAGAGTTGGCCAAACCAACAATGTACTGATACAGTCATGAAAACATACTTCGAACATCAAAGACACTTAGGATTTTCAATGAGATATCAGTTATTCCAAGTTCACCCAGAGAAGTTATCTTAGAGAATCTATATCAAAGTCAGTAGGAACTGCAGATGCTGGAGAAGGGTCTAGGCCCGAAACGTCAGCCTTCCTGCTCCTCTGAAGCTGCTTGGCCTGCTGTGTTCATCCAGCTCTACACCTTGTTATCTCTATATCAAAGTCGCTTGGAAACCAACAAGTATAGAACAAGGGTTCAGCTATCAGTGTGATGGACTGAAACTTTGGAGGATATTAAAGAAATAATTTCTGATTGCCCTACCAGCACAGAAACAAACCACAGTTTGTTTGTATTTGTTACACTTTTAACCAGACCCCAGGGAATGCTGAGAACGCATCTATTTATCTTCAATGGCAAGTCATAAATCATCACCATTGACTGCTGTTCAAGACTGATTCAAGTCAACAACTACACCGGCCCATAATACCTCACCTCTTTCTCCGTTACATTGATGACTGTGTCGCTGCTGCCTTGTGCTCCCACAGGGAGCTCGAAAAGTTCATCAACTTCACCAACACCCTCCACCACACCCTCAAATTCACCTTACACCATTTCTGACAGCTCCCTCCCCTTCCTGGACCTCTCCGTCTCCATATCTGGTAACTGACTCACCGCTGACGTCCATTTCAAACCCAATACACCTCCTCTCACCCACTCTCCTGCAAACACACTATCCCATACTCACAATTCCTCTAACTCCACCACATCTGCTCCCAGGGTGAGGTGTTCTACTCTAAGACTTCCCAGGTATCCTCCTACTTTAGAGACTATAGTTTCCCCTCCTCTGTTATTAAGGATGCCCTCAGTTGCATCTCCCTTATTTCCCATACTTCTGCCCTCAAACCTTCTCCCCCCAACAACAGTAAGGATAGAGTCCCATTAGTCCTCACATACCACGCCACCAACCTCCAAATACAACGCATCAACCTCCAACATTTCCGCCACCTACCATCAGACCCCACCACCAAAAAGATATTCCCCTCTCAACCACTGTCCACTTTCCACAGGGACCGTTCACTCCACGACTCTCTCGTCAGCTCCACACTCCCCACCAATTCCTCCACCACACCCGGTATCTTTCCCTGCAACTGCAGGAGGTGCTACACCTACCCCTACACCTCCCCTCTCACCTCTGTCTGAGGCCCCAAACAATCCTTCCAAATCTGGCAGAGATTCACCTGCACTTCATTTAACCTGATCTATTGTATCCGTTGCTCCCAAAGTGGTTTCCTCGATATCAAGGAGACTAAACACATACTCGGGACAGGTTTGCAGAGCATCTGCGCTCTGCATGCACCCACCAACCCGAACTTCTGGGTGCCATCCACTTTAACCGACCTTTCCCACTCCCCTGGTGACACGTCCATCCTTGGCTTCCTCCACTGCCAGAGCGAGGCCAAATGTAAACTGGATGAGCAACAGCTGATATTCCACCTTGGGCGCTTACAGCCCAATGGCTTGAATATTGACTTCACCAGCTTCAAAATCTCTCCATCCCCGACCTGTCCAACTTATAACTCATCCACCTTCCAACTCACATACCTTTGAGCCAGTTCTGTATCCAAATGGCTAGTTCTCCCTGTATTCCATGTGATCTAACCTTGCTAACCAGTCAACCATGTGGAACCTTGTTGAATGACTTACTGAAGTCAATATAGATCAGGTCCACCATTCTGCCTTCATTAATCCTCTTTGTTACTTCTTTAAAAAACTCAATGAAGCTCAGACTTATATCCTCTGGTCTGATATGTGCCAGACTAGAATCCCTCAAAATATTTTAAGATGGTAGTTTGGACCCTATTTTTCTCTTATTTTAAAGGCAAATATAACGTGCTGTGTTCCGGATGCAATTCAATTCATTCAACGTTAAGCAAAACACAATTTATTTAAACACTATAGTTAAAATACAACAAAAGAAAGAACTTAGAACAACAACTCTGTTGGAAAACTTAACAGAATAAGAGATGCAGTAACTATTACTAATTAGCTATTCCAAAATAATAACATCCCATAAACACACCCCATGGCAAAAATGCAAATTTAGAAAATAGATTTATCTCTCATGTAACCCAGCAGCAGAAAGAAACCATAGCTTCTAGGTGTAACTGAGGGAGGGAAAAAATAACTTCTACTTCTTCAAAACTCCAGCAGTTTTTGCTGAGCCTAAAAGCTAAACAAAAAACTAGAAATCCTGGTCTGAGAACAACCATCCAGGCTGCTTCTATTGTTCAACTTAAAAAAAAACAAGCGTCACAAGCTGTTTGCGTTACTGACATCCCAATCAGGCATCTCTGTTTTAAAACCTCTCAAAATAACCTTTTACAGCCACAGCATCATCACAGGTCCTAGATTCTCCCATGAGGGGAAATATCCTCTCAGCATTTACCCTGACAAGCCCCTTAAATATTCTGTATGTTTCAATGAGATCACCTTTCATTCTTCTAACCTTAGGTGTGTAGAGCCCACGTCTATTTAGCCTTTGGTCAGAAGACAATCCCTCCGTACCAGGGATCACCTTAGTGAAACATTTCGGTCGCCATCATCCCATCTGAAGGATCAATCTTTGCATGACAAAATGCTTCCTGACCTCAAGCATTTCTGGAAGAATGGGCATTTCTATTGCATCTTTCACAAGCTGCAGGTGTTGCAAAGTTTAAAGTGTGATCCCAGTTGTAATAATCAGGAAATGTTTCAGCCAATCTGTTCATAGCAAGCATAAATGAGGAAATGTATTGAAAATTATGGAAAATAGAAATTTATGGAAAAATTGTCCCTACTCACAAATGGAGCAAGAATGAGAGGGCACAGATTTCAAGTGATTTGTGAAAGAAGTAAATGTGATATGAGAAGGAACCAATTCACACAGCAAGATATTTGTCTCTGGAATGAACAACCAGAGGTGGAGGTAGATTCCATTGAGGCATTCAATAGGACATTTCATGACAATTTAAATAAAAATTATCTGCAGGGTTATGAGAAAAAGGCAGGAATATGGCATTGTCATTCAGAGAGCTGGAGCCGATCTAATGAGTCTAATGATATCCATCTGCAATGGAATGAATTTATGATTCTCAATTATATTGAGTATATTCTGTTTTTGCATTGCGACTGGGAATGGAATATACAAAGTAAGGAGGTGTTACTGAAGCCGTTCAAGATGCTGGTAAGACTACAGCCCAGATGTTCACCACAATGGAGATCCATCATAGTGAAAAAAATTCTGAAAGATGTTCAAAATCCCATGTCCCACCTTTAAGCCTGACATTTACCACTTTTGCCGGGGCTAGAATGAAGGACAGTCCATGACTGATACCTACAACGTTCCTCAAGACAGCTGGCAATTTCATTGAGCACCTGCCTTCACTCAAATCAAATCTGGAATCCCTAGTGTGCGGATTAGGCCACTAAGGGCGGGTCTGTGGAGTGGGGTTTTGTTAGCCCTTCATTTTACAGATTGTGGTTGAATACAGTTCTGCTGCTAATGGCCCCTAGTGACTCGTGGATGCCTAGGTTTAAGTAAAATCTATCCCATTTGGCATAATGGTAGTACCAAACAATGTGAAGGAGGGCACCATAAGACCTTGTCAAATAGAGAACTCATGCATTATTATTCTACTGTTTTCGGCTGTTGAACCAATTTCCTATTCAAGTCAATAACTTGCTTCCAACTCTATGAGATTCAACGTTAACTAATGGTCTTTTATGAAGGACTTTAATAAATACCTTTTGGAAGTCTACATGGATAGCACCCATGAGCATTCCCCTCTTCCCTACTTTAGTCAACTTTTCAAAAAATATGATGAGGTTAACCAGCGTTGATATCGGAGAATCATTGAGTTGTACCGCACGGAAACAGCCCATTCAGTCCAACTCATCCATGCCAACTAGATATCCTAAATTCGATAAGTCCATTTGCCAGCATTTAGCCCTCATCCCTCTAAACATTTCATATTCATGTATCCATCCAGATGCCTGTTAAATGTTGCAATTGTACCAGCCTCCCACATTTCCTCTGGCAGATCATTCCTTACACTCGCCACCTTCTGTGTAAAAAAGTTGCCCCTTAGATCCCTTTAAAATCTTTTCTCGCTAACCTTAAAGCTATGCTATCTAGTTCTGGACTTCCCCACCCTGGGAAAAAGACCATGCCCATTCATCCCAAACATGCTCCACATTATTTTATAAACCTCCAAAAAATCACCCCTCAACCTCCGACACCACAAGGAAAATAGTCCTAGCCTATTCGGCCTCTCTCTATAGGCTGAGGCTGATGTCTTCAACAAATCTGATCAGCTAAAAATCTTCAAGGCATCTGTCATCCCATCCCTAATGGGGAGGTAGTGACAGAGTGTTCTGGAGATGACACGATTTCAAAACCCCCGCAGCAGCTGGTGGACTTAAAATTCAATTCAGGCGTATGGATTGTAAAGCTGATTTCAGAAATGGCACAATAAAATTTTCGTAATAGGGGAAAAATGCTGGAATGATCCAAATCTGAAATGAAATCAGAAAGTGCTGGAGAAACTCAGCAGCTCTGGAAGCAACAGTAGGAGAGAGACAGAGTTAATATTTTGAGCCCAAATATGCTTCAGAGGCTCATCACTTGTATAAAACTGGTTCACTAACGTCCTTTAAGAAAACAAATCTGCCTTCTTTACCTGGTCTGGTCTACATGAGACTTTAGGTCCACAGTAATTTGGTTGAGTCTAAGCTGCCCTGTGAAATGGTCTTCCAAATCATTCACTTCAATGGCAATTAGAGTTGGGCAATAAATCCTGTCCTTGCCTGAAACATATATATTCCATGAAAAGAATTTCTAAAACGCCTTACAGAGTCTTAAAATACAGCTTAATCTAATTAGCCTGTAATTGCCTGGTCTTGTTCATCACCATCGGAAGTTTTAGTATATTAAAGGCACTTATTGAAACGCAAGATATTATTGCACAATTGATGGTCAGGAGAGATATGCTGAGAAGTCAGGTGGAGCTCAGTTAACAAAAACAAAGTTGCTGGAAAAGCTCAGCAGGTCTGGCAGCATCTGTGAAGGAGAAAACAGAGTTAACGTTTCGGGTCCAGTGACCCTTCCTCAGAACTCAGTTAATCTTTGTGCAACCAACTTAGTCTTGGGATCTTGACGGACACATTGGTGCAAATGTGAAATGGAATGAGATAGGAAACATTAGCAGGTTGAGAACTTATAACGTGCAACTCAAAATAATAAAATAACACCTACCTACGCAGTGTAATGTGACCAGCAACCCAGAAGAGCAATTTTGGCTGTAAATGGAAAATATATTTCTGAGTAGCGTGTTAACAGATAATGAGCAAACATCAAAAGTTGTGTGATATATTGATATATACAAAGAAGCGACCTGATGCTCAGCTTTTGGTACGTGTCTATTGTTGATAAACTCTCATTCAGCATCAGGAACTCTGAAGATTCAACTGTGCTCGCTGAGGTTGATCCATAATAGGAGTAGCTGTTCCTGTGAAACACATGTATAGAGATTAAAAGCATTATTATGCAATGGAATGTCCAATGTAGGCAAACACAAAACAACTTAATATCAAAGTAGGGATGCTTTCTCAAGTTTATGGGTTTTGGCCAGCTGGAAGAATGCCACATGGAGACAATGACCTCGAAATTACTCATGACAACGTGACTGGGGGAAAGCTTCAATCATTTGTACAGCTAGTTAGCTCATTGATCCAGTGGACCAAAGTTGCGGTATTGATTGGCAAATGATGCATTCTTTTCCCAGCTTTCTGCACTTTGATTCTTTTGCAAAAATTCTATTTTTGCTGCCCTAACGCATTCCTGTTCTTGGCACTGTTCTGAGTGCAATACAGTAACAGGTGATGTAGTGCTAAGAAATTAACATGAAGAAAATTCTTTTTAATTTGCAGATGATGGTAGCTAAATTTTGTGAGGCTAAATAATGTAGGAACTCATGGCAATCAATTCGGTGTATCACACTCCTCACTTTGGAAGAAGTCATGGGAAAGCTCTGTGCTTCTGTACCGAAACAGTTTTTGAAGTCCATTTATTTGGAGGATTATGGTGGCTGAATTTTAATTAGTCCAATCGATTCAGGAGGTCATCATGATAATTTTGGTGTATCACACCAGAAAGCCCCAGAAAGGGATCGACAGAAAACACTCACACATGCACACACACACACACCCACATGCACATGCACACGCACAAAAAACACATCCACTTGTATTAGATATTCTATAGTCTTCTTCTTTGAGACAACACTACAGTCACAGTAGATGAGTGAATTTACACTAATACACTGGAACATAGGAGCATGTAGATGGAGCAACAAACAACCAAGTTTTTCATTCACACTCTACCATCTTGGTAAATGATAATGGACAGACTAACCTGGAGGAACTAATATTGATCAATTAATCAACAAACGATGATTGAGATACAACCCCATTGGTGTAGAGCTTCGGAAATTATTGTCAACTTTTTGATTCTATATTAAATATTTATACTGCAATACTACCCAAATGCTGTGGCAATAACAAAGAAATACAGAGAAAAAGAGGGACAAGACTGATAGAAGTATAAATCATGGAATAATTAATAGGTGACATTATATTAGCTGATAAAAGTTGAACACTTAGGATCAGAAAAGTTTGTTCAGTTTAAAAGCTTGGGAAAGAATGTTAGAATGAGGAGCAATGCAACCTTGGCTTTAGAAAGAAATAACCTTAGAAACAATATTATTCCTCGATGCAAACAAGTGAAGAATGTTTAAATAATACTGACCACAGTTGTGTGAATATTATGAGATGGAGTAGACAGATTGCAATAGAATGAGAAGTCAGTTGGAGGCCCTCCATAACAAGCAGAATGCAGAAATTGGTTTTTCTCTATATATTTTATCCAAAAGAATGGTGCAGCCATTGATACATCTGAGTTCTTGATTTTAAAGAAGCATAAAGAGTTAACATTAAATGCAGGAACAAAGTCAATAAATTAGTCAAGATGTCTTCTTACAATACTGTCTCTGATTCAGCCACAGGCCTGAAAGATCTTTATTTACTTGATAACAACAAATTCAAAATACATGATCAATTAATGACATTAATTCTCATTGTTCAGTTGCTTGTAGATGAGGTCTGTGCTTTTCTTGAAAAAAAGCTCAATTATCTAAAGAGGCAATGATGTAGTGGTAATGTTACTGGACCAATGAACCAGAATCCCATGCTAATGTTCTGAGGACATGGGCTTGAAGCCCACCATGGCAAGTGGTTAAAATTTGAATGAATTATAATAAAAGTAGTCTAATGGTGACCATGTCAGTTGTTGCAAAAACCATTCTGGCTCACTAATGTCCTTCCAAGATGGAAATCTGTCATCGATACTTAGACTGGTCTATATGTGAGTCCAGACCCACAGCAATGTGGGTGGCTCTTAACTGCCCTCTGGGCAAGAATTGCTGGCCTGGCCAGTGATACCCACAACCATGAATGTTTTTTTTGAAACTAGTTAAGTTGGGTGGTCTTTCTCCAGCATTATTTAAAATGGAATTGTCTTCAAGATCAGTAAAATATTTCCTTCAAAGTATTTTTAGAAATTCTGGCACCTTTATGATGTCCTGTTTGTGTTGCTTGTTTGCGTTCAACTAAAAAAAATTCTGTCAAGCCAATTTTTTCATCAAGAACATCTCTCTCCTAGACTTGGAACATAATTTAAAAATAGTTTGATGATGAACATTGCTAATTCCTTCACTTTGTTCCAAAAATTACACAGACTAATATTGTTCCTCATATTTTCACGGTGAAGAGCTCAATATTAAGTCATTAGGATGAGTTCGGTTCAACACAGCTTAAAGTTAGAACAAAGTTCCCTTAACTTTCTTCAAACAATGACCTGAGACACAGAAGACCAATTTCAATTGCAACAATGTAGTGTTTGGATTCCTCCACCACCCATCCTTGCGAAGTTTCACAATGTGACCTCCAATCCTAGCCAATACTGCTTTGTGAACTCTGTGCCCTCAAGAAGTTTGATTACAGTATATTAAAGTTATTTTATTTACAGCTTTCACCGGGATACCATCTGTCAGGTGAATGTGACTACATCTGGGGGAACTGCATTAGAAAATACATTGATACAATCTCTTACTGTTACCTGGAGTAACCTATCCTATTGCAGACTTGCTCTCCATGATCCGCATTCCAGTGGTCATGACATACTGGCCTCCAGCCATAGTCCACAGATTTGGCATAAAGCACAAAAGTTGAGTTTGCTAACAGAACTGTAATTTAGAAAGAAACACAAAATTGTAACAAAGCCTGTTGCCTACGTCACAAAGTTCCTTGAGCTGAATTCAAGCATGTTCGATTTTAATGTGTAACTGTGACTGAAATGTGGCTAAGGACATTTACTCTTTCCTTGATACAAGAGCAACTAATGTAGATGGTTTCCCAGGCTAAGGTGCTGTGGTATTGTTGGTAATATCAGACGGCTTTAACTATGAGGAGAGTTGGATTAACTCGGATTATTTTCACTGGAAAGACGGAGGATGAGGGGCAACCTTATAGAAGGGTACAAAATTATGGGAGATTTCGATAGGGTGGAGAGTGAAGGCTTTTTCCCAGAGCGGAAAGGTCAACTACAAGAGAGCACAGGTATAAAGTGAGAGGGGGAAAGTTGAGGACAGAAGTGTAGGGAAATTTTTTCACGCAGAGGATGGTGGGTGCCTGGAATGCACTGCCAGTGGAGGTGGTGGAAGCAGGCACGTTAGCAACGTTTGAGGCATTTCTAACAGAGGGGTGGATACCGCACATGGGCAATACTTGGCACTTCTAAATAAGGACTAGGAGTCGACAAAGGTCTGATGGGTCGAATGGCCTGTTCTTGTGCTGTATTGTATTGTTGCATAAAATTTAGTTTTAAATCTCAATATTTGATGACACCTTCATACTCCAGTATTGTTTTCTTCTTGAATGCAGAAATACTAATTATTTTATTCGAGATTTTAAATGCACTATTTTATACATAAATGCCGAGACTTAGCAATCATAATTAAATCAAAGGCACCTCCGCACTAACAAAGACACACTAAGATATATTAGATTATGCCAGCTACCTGGTATTTTAATTCTGCAGACTCATTCTTGAGCTAATTGGCCTGATTTTGCAAGAAAGGTAATGATGAGGCTATCAGCATTAACTGTTGTTAAAGAGTAAATTGTGCAGCAACATCCAGCAGCCATTAATAGACAGGGAAATACGGAATTCAAGAAGATGTTGCCCACATTTCTTTACTCATCCAGAAGCTGGGCTGATGGAAGTACTTACAGAAGAGGTTTGGTATTGAAATACGGCAAACTTTTATTATTCAGAGACAGCAAGAACTGCAGATGCTGGAGTCAGAGACAACACAGTGTGGAGCTGGAGGAACACAACAGGCCAGGCAGCATCAGAGGAGCAGGAAAGCTAATGTGGGACGGGACCCTTCTTCAGAAATGGGGAGGGGGAAGGGACCCTGGAAATAAATGGAGAGAGGAGGGGTGGGTCTGGGGAAGGTAGGTGGGATGGTGATAGGTGATTGCAGGTGGGGATTGGTCAGCGGGATGTGTGGGGAGAAAGATGGACAGGTTGTGTCAGGTCAAGGAGGCGGGATGAGAGGGAGAGTTGGTCATGGGATGAGGCCAGGAGTGGGGAGATTTTAAAACTGGTGAATTCTATGTTTAGGCCATCGGGCTGTAGGCTCCCGAGGTGGAATATGAGGTGTTGCTCCTCCGGTTTGCGGGTGGTGTCATTTTTTATTAATTGGCACCACGGGATCAAGAGTGGGACAATTGATCAAGTATTCCAGATAATCGAGAGGTAAACCTTGGCTAAGAGAAGCTTTGAGACATCAAATCCATCAAAAAATCTATGTGAAAACATCAACACAAACTCTAAAATCAATGTAAAAACACACAGTAAGTAATAGCAACATAATGCAGTGGGTATGCACGTTACTGTTATACTTTATTTACAGCATAAATACTTGGACATCACAGTAGATCATGGTACTTCAGGTATATAGAACAAAGTTTGCCTTAAATGGGAGACTGTGAAGTTATAGCACTTACATGATAAAGAAGAGGAAGAAGCACTGATCTGACATGTAGTGGACACATGACTAGGCTGAGCCAACCTCTTGATATCAATATGAGATATATAAAGACAACTTGAGATTAAACCAACATCTTAACTTACTGGCATTGAAACATAGTAAAGTGTGAAGAAACCGTTATCTCCCATTTTTGATTGAAACCTGTCTGGAAGCTTTGAGTATTGAAATGTAAGTCCCCGCAGTTTGAAAAAACAATAGCGCCAGACTTGGGAATACACAAGTGAAGTGTTTCAGGAAAACAGCTTTTGGCAGGGCAGTGAAAGATAATAGATTTTTAACACAAAACTGAAAGATTTCCCCTCTCAAATAATCAGGCCTGGTGATACTGTAGACGCTGGAAATCTGAAATAAAAACAGAAAGCCCTGGAGAAACTCAACAGCTCTGATAGCATCAGTCGAAGGATAAACAGAATTAACCTTCAAGTCCAATGACTCTTTTGTAGAATTATATCAGACTTGAAAAGTTAACTTTGTGTCCCTCTCGAGAGATACTGCAAGATCTATTAATAAATCATAGTCTCAGGTTAAAATCTAACAACTCATGGATTTTAAGGATTTTTTAAAAATCTGTACCTTCTTGACCTTCCTTTTTGTACAAGACACTCTCTCCATTTTGAAAAGTTATACCTTACATAGAACATAGAACAGTACAGCGCAGTACAGGCCCTTCGGCCCACGATGTTGTGCCGACCTATTATCCTACTAAGATCAAGTTACCCTAAATTATACTATCCTCCATGTTCCTATCCAAGAGTCGCCTAAAAGTCTCTAAAGTATCTGACTCCACTACCACTGCTGGCAGCGCATTCCACATGCTCACCACTATCTGTGTAAAGAACCTACCTCTGACATCTCCTCTGTACCTTTCTCCAATCACCTTAAAATTATGCTCCCTCGTAATAATCATTTCCGCCCTGGGAAAAAGTCTCTGGCTATCCATTCTATCTATGCCTCTAATCATCTTGTACACCTCTATCAAGTCAGCTCTCATCCTTCTTCGCTCCAATGAAAAATGTTTTATAATTCAATTTGGGGTTAAATTTGCCTCCTTAATTTTAACCATGACCACATTTTGATTGAAGTTTGATATAACCATGCACTAAAAAGAATTATAAATATTTGTTTCTCTGAATAACGGGATTAAAAAAAGGGAAGCTCTTCCTCATCTGATTGTACAAATTTTAATGAACTGGTTTTATTTCAGTGATGATGTTTTAATGTCCTTCATACAGTATTGTTTATTTTTTCCTTCAAAATATCTCATGTTGATTATGAATTAGAAGTGTGGATGTGTCTAGCCAAAGAAATTTGAGTTTGATAAGCATTCAGCAAGCCACATATAGGAATTGAACCTTTTTTTTTAGTCAAGAAATGGCTTTAAAAAAACCCAGTCTATGTGGAGAGCCTGTGGTTGGACTGGCCTTCAAAGCGTCCACATGTATCATCAGGAGACTAGGAGAGTATAGTCAATCAAGAGTCTTTTGGTCCTATGTGGAGTAAGTGGAGATTTTGTTTGCTAATTGTATCTTGGATATTCCTTATTATTCAGCTGTTAGTCTGATAGTGGGGAAAAGGAAAGGAATAATATTTCTCATCAAGGCCAGCTCGGGTGTATGGGATACAATCAACATTTTTTCTTTCCCCTGCTAAACCAAATGAAATGAAATCATGTTGCGCAGGCTTAAGCAGTACTGCAGTTCCAATCCATTCTATATTGTGGAACGCTATCAGCTTGAAAGAAGCAATCAGTTACCAGTGAGGATTTTATGGCTTGAAGTTGCTGTCCATCCTTTGTAATTTTGGGGTAATTTCCAAAGTGTTGTGGAACAATTTAAAAGTGAAAGCATTTACAGTAAATTTCTGACACTACCATTCTTCAACGTAGATTGACAAAGATCATGGTCCATGGATATTCAAGAATGTGACTCGAGAAAGGTCAGAGTCAACAATCGCAAGCTTGGCCTGCTGTGTTCATCCAGCCCTGCACCTTGTTGTCTCGGATTCTCCAGCATCTGCAGTTCCTACTATCTATGGTTAGGACATGTTGGACACAGAACTGACCATGTATGAATGCTGAGTGCTATAGCTACAAGAAGAAGGGTCTTCTCACCAAGGCATGTCTGTAGCAAGTGCCAGCAGAAAATGCTGGTGGGTGGAAAGGCAATCCATGCAAATATTTGTCAAAGAGGAGAAGGTCAATCAGGGGTCAGTTGAAATCAATACAAGAAGTGCAAGGATGTCCAATGAAAATTCATCGCAGTCCAAGTAACATGGATTGTGGGGCCCTAGTGGACATGAACTTTAACATGTAGTAGAAATCATATGCAGCGGTAAGAAGTTATGGAGGAGAATATATGTACCATAAAAATTCATATAATGGTATGAAAACTTAAGTTAGAAGTTATTTATAACCATCATAGGAACACTGCAGAGAAGTAGGTCGTTGAATCCACTGAGCTTACCCAACCATTCAATACAATCATGGCTGATCAAGCACTTCAATATCTTTAATTTACCCCATCCCCATTCCCCTATTTCCGATTGATAGATTTTTAAATACCAATCTCTATCTTAAACATATTAAGGACTGAATCTCTACAGTCTTCAGTGGTAGAGAATTCCAAAATTTCAAAATTCTCTGGGTACGAAAAGATTTCGACTCGTCTCAGATCTAAGTGGTATCCGCCCAATTTTTAACTTATGCCCACTAGTTCTAGATTCCCTAATCAGGGGAAACATCTTATCTGCATCTACCCTGTCCATCCTTTTAAGTATTTTGTAGGTTTTAATGAGATAACCACTCATTCTTCGAAACTGTAGAGATTACAGGCTGTTTTTTACCCCAGTCTCTCTTCATAGGACAGTTCTGACCTTCCAGGAAGAAGCCCGATGAATCTTCATTGCATTTCCTCTGTGACAATAATATAATTCCTGAGATAAAGAGATTAAAACTGCACAGAGTAATCCAGATGTGATCTAACTAAGCTCCTGTACAATTGAAGAAAGACTTCAATATTCCTGTACTCAAATCTTTTTACAATAAAGGCTAACATTCCATTGGCCTTCCTAATAGCTTCCTGCACCTACATGTTTGCTTTCAGTGACTTATTCACAAGGACAAAGTCCCTTTCTATGTCTACATTTTCCAACCTTATCATTTTAGTAAATACTCAGCTCATCTATTCTTTTATCAAAGTGGATAATCTCACATTTTTCAACATTATATTCCATCTGCCAAGTTCTTATCTACTCACTAAGCATGTCCAAATCCTCAAACCACACACTCCCACTTGGCTTTGCGTCATCGCAAATTTGGAAATTTTACATTTGGTCCACACTTACAAAATATATATACATTTATATATACACACACAGCCTGCTAACGTGTTGTGACCCATTTATTTCTACTCTCTGGCACCAAGACAGAAAACAATCATTAATCCATGCCAGTACATTACCTGCTATTGCATGCATTTTAAACTTTCTAACCAACCTTTTTTAGAGTACTTTGTTGAAGACATTTGAAAATCTAAGGCAACTACATCCATTAGCTTTCTTTTCTCAATTTTGTTCATAACATCTTCAACAAAAACCAAAAACATCATCAAATGCAACTTCCCATTCACGAACCCATGTGACTGTGCCCATTGAGACAATGTTACAACAGCTTCTAGCATTTTCCCTCCTACTAATATAAGGCTAAAAGGTCTGTAGTTCCTTGTTTTCTCTCTCACTCCCTTCTTGGATAGCAAATGTACCTTGCAAACCACAGGAATCATTCTAAAATTCTATAGAAGTTTGAAAGATTATCAGCAATGTATCAACTATTTCTACTGCCGCCTCTTTCAACACTCCAAGATAAATATCATCCATGTCCTGGGAATTTATCAACTTTTGGCTTCATAATTTCTCCTGTACAAATGCTAATTTCCTTAATGCTTTTGATAAATCAGTGTTCAATAAACACTGTTTCTTATGCAGGCAATACTTAGGAAGATCAGAGGAGCAGTGATTATTTTAAAAATAGTTATCTTTAAACTTTTCTTTCTTTGAAACCCTTTCATTTTTAAATTGAGTTATTAATCCCACTTTTAAAAAATGCTAAATAATTTATTCATGGCTTGGTGATATTAACAACTCAAATAAGGTGAATCCAGTAATGGGTACTGTTACTGCTACATATAACATGCAATGGGTAAGTATGTGATCAAATGCCACTTGATCAGGCAGCAAATAAGCAGTGTGACTTGATCAAGTGCCACGTGATCAAATATCACATGATTAAACACACAGGAATGCTACAATCTGGAATTCATAACAGATATTAATAGGGAGCAACAATATTATATCAGCACTTTCAAGACAAGACAAAAGCATAGCAAGGTTTTTCTTACAGCATTCTTCATCCTCGCCATAACGGCACTGAGGAATCCCATCACACCAATGTGATGGACTCACACATCCATCACTCTTTCCACAGGGTATACAGTTGGAAGTTGAAACTGAAACAAGAAAAGTAGAAGATTAGAAACCATTTGAGTAAATACCTTCTCATTTCCACCCTACTGTTATCGAAGGTCAAGGGAAGGAGGCAGATGGAGATGCCATCTTGCAACTTCTGCTCTGTTTAAATCTTTCTGATAGAAAGTCTTGTGAATGCTCTTCCTTCCCCTTTAAGTCTTCCGCCACCTCCGTATTAGCGGCAGGTGGGAGCACTCTCACTCTCATGGGAAAACCCGAATTTGACATGGACCCCCAGGAGCGGGATTGTGGGGAGATTGCTTCAGGACATCCACAGGGTAAAGAAGGCACTATATAAATGCAAAGCCTTTCTTACTAAATCTCTCCATAATTCTATCCATTCTGTATGTTTGATTATCCACTTTAATTTTAACATTTGCACAAAGCCATACATATTTATGGGAACATAATCCTCCATTTGCCTGCCTAAGTTTTCCTAATCAATCAAACTTTCCGCTTCAGCCTCAGAATCAGATGTTACCAGTCAAAAGTCACCTGACAAGTGAGCTCCAGTGTTTTTATTCGCCTGGCTTGTATTTCATAAAGAAGAGATCAGAGTGGAGGTATATATTTTTAAACCTCAAAGCTTAATACATTTGTAACATGACATTGGGGAAATACTATTGCTATACTCACTAAAATACCAGACGACAGCTGATAGAATCCCCAGGGAAAGCAGCACACCACCAACAATCAAAGCAACCAACATGTTTGTCTTCTTAGCTGTAATGTCACAACAATATCAAGTGTGTTAGAGCAAGACTGACAGTCCAATACATGACTTTAAGGCAGTTATCATCAGATGGGCAGCATGCTTGTCTTAATATTGAATGACACAGCACAGAAACAGACAATTCGGCTCAACACATACATTTTGATAGTTGATGTTAAATAAAAGCCCCCTTCAACAACTCTACATCTAACCTTGTCAACATATCTTCGGGGTGGCACAGTGGTAAGCACTGTTGCCTCACAGTGCCAGGGACCCAGGTTCAATTCCACCCTTGGGCAACTGTCTGTGTGGAGTTTGCATATTCTCCCCATGTGTGTATGGGTTTCCTCCGAGTGCTCCGGTTTCCTCCCACAGTCCAAAGGTGTGCAAACTAGGTGGATTAGCCATGTTAAATTGCCTGTAGTGTTCAGGGATGTGTAGATTAGGTGGGGTATGGGGGAGGGATGGGATACTCTCAGAGTCGGTGTGGACTTGTTGGGCCGAAGAGCCTGTTTCCACACTGTAGGGATTCTTTAAAAAAAAATCCTTCTACTACTTTCTCACTCATTAGAACAGAGAATAGTTCACTAATGTCCTTACCTGGTCTGCCCTATGTGTGATTCCAGACCCACAGAAATGTAGTTGATTCCTAACTGCCTTCTGGTATGCTTCAGATATGCAGGATATTGGTGAGATCACATTTAGAACACTGTGCATAGTACTAGTTACTATACTTACAGAATCTCGTTAATACATTGGAAGCAGTTTTGAGAAAGTTTACTTGATTAATACCTGGAATGAGTGGATTGCCTTATTAGGAAAGGCTAGACAGGCTGGACCTGTAGGCTCTGGAGTTTAAAAGGTGATGTAATTGAAGCATCTAAGATCCTGAGGGGACTTGACCAGGTGGATGTGGAAAGGATGTTTCCTCTTGCAGGAGAACATAGAACTAAGGGTCATTGTTTAAAATTAAGAGGCCACCCATTTATGACAGAATTTAGGGGAAGGAAACTCTCTCAGAGGCCTGAGAGTCTTTGGAATTCTCTTCCTCAAAAGGCAGTAGAGGCAAAATCTTTAAATATTTTTAAGCCAGATGTAGATAGATTCTTGATTACCAAGGGGATAAAAGAGGCTGAGAGGTGACCTTATAGAGGTTTATAAAATCATGAGGGGCATGGACAGGATAAATAGGCAAGGTCTTTTCTCTGAGGTGGGGATGTCCAAAATTAGAATGCATAGGTTTAAGTTGAGCAGGGAAAGATATAAAATGGGCTTATGGAGCAAATTTTTCCTCACGCAAGGTGCTGCATGTATGGAATGAGCTGCTAGAGGAAGTGGTGGAGGCTGGTAAGATTACAATATTTAAAAGGCAACTGGATGGGTATATGAACAGGAAGGATTTAAGAGGGATATGGGCCAAATGCTGGCAAATGGGACTAGATTTATATAGGATATCTGGTCAGCATGGACGAGTTGGACTGAAGGGTCTGTTTCAGTGCTGCAAATCTGTATGACTCTATAACTCTATTATCAGAAGTAAGCAGGAAAGCAGAGCTGATGCTGAAATCAGATTAGTCATCATTTTATTGAATGGTAGAACAGACTTGAGGGGCCAAGTGGCCTACCCTTTTTCCTTGTTTATCTGTTTGAATGGGGAGGAGCCTCATCCAATGTTACTTGCAATGCAATGAATTTTCATCGGACAGCCTTGTGCTTCTTCTTGTAGGGATTTCAACTGATGCCTCATCAATCTGCTGTGGCTCAGGAACCATTTGCCCTTTCCTTTCTCCTTGTACCTTCCTCCAACATGCCTTGGCCAGATGTGCATCTTCCTTCACAGTTGTAGCACTTGACATTCTAAGCTTCCATAATGGGACTTCACTGGGACAGTCAGCTTGTCTTGTTGCAGGTCATTTATCGGTTATTAAATCTGACTTCTCTCCAGTAATGTCTACTGTATTCATGGATAGTGCTATATGGCAAGTTATTTCAAAGGTAACTTTGGCAAGAACAGCAACTTACTACAAAGGTACTCACTTCTTAATACACACAAAAATGGCCATAAGAGTGTGCTATAACTCAACTTCAAGCTCTAAATCTGTAGCCCTTCAAGAAATCTGAATACAATTAATTAACTTGGGATATAATACTAATTTCTACAACAGTAACCATGAAACTATCATCAATTGTTATATTCAGATCACTTTTGCTCCTTTTGCTAATTATTTCCTGCAGTCAATAGCCCATAATTAAAAGCATTGTAAATTTTAGATCAAGTAGATGAAGAGTAAATTATTGACATACGCAACAAACAGAACAATGTCCAGTATTGAGTCATGCAGGAAGCAGCCTTACAATCACAAAAAATGCTCTTCCAGCCTTTACCCTTTGTCTCATGGACTCTCAAGATTTGATCTAGTGACATCACCTGATGAAGGAGCAGCGCTCCAAAAGCTTGTGATTTCAAATAAATCTGTTAGACTGTAATCTGGTGTCATATGATTTATGACCTTCTACTAGTTTGGCTAGGGGTACAGCAAGTTCTGGAGCATAAATCTTTGATCCTGCTGCATGCAGAGCAAACCATTGGCACTATTTTCTATGGCATACAACAACACAACAAAACTGCACCAACACAAGTATTCTTTTTTGTCATTCAATACAGGTATTGTGATTATTATAACAGAGAGACAGCTTATACTTGACAAAGCAGAAGATTTCACCTGTAGCTAATCAGAATATCAGGTATTAGGTAAATAATATTCTATTGCTCATCAGGGATTGGTTAACTCCGTTGATTAACTTGTGACAGATTACAAGTTATGAAGCAGTCACAACAGTAAATTGACTGATATTTTAACGTGTAGTTTACAACCCACTGCAAACTGACTGTCAAGCAGAGTCACAACATTGTATGTACACAATACATGGAGCCATAAACAGTGAACTCTCTGAAAGGTAAGATATGTGCACAACATGGAAAAAGACCCCTTATGGTGTAGTGGTCATATCCCCAGCTCCAGCCAAGATGGTCAGGGTTCAAGTCCCACCTGCACCGAGTGGGAACAATGAGATCCTAGGCAGGACTCCTAAAAACGGGAAAAGTGATGGGAAAATGAACATTGTATCTGTAGTGTTGCTGAAACTGCGGCTCTGTCTTATAACATTGTTTACCTAGTACGTTATGTTCTCCTTTATGTAAGAAACCTCAAGCCAGGAGGACAGGTAACAGCTTTTTTTGTCATTAATAATACACAGCATCAATAGATCTGTGCTTCTGAAGGTGCTTATGATATGCTATAGTGTCAGCTTTCACCGATTTGTTGCACACCCACCTCTATAGTCAGTAGGTTTTGGGTTCAAGTCCTGCTCCAGAAACTCAAACACATAATGTCAGTTAGCACTTCAGTACAGTATGCCACAGAGAAAGCTGTGCACCATTGTGTATGCGTTCCATTTCAGACAAAATATTGAACTGAGACCATGTTTTTTCTCAAGTAAATGTAAAAGATAGAATGTTTCAGATAAGATGTTCTCAGATAATATTTATGCCATAATCTAACTCCATCTGTTGTTCCTTGTGCTCTGTGCAAATTGGCTGACACATTTATGACATGGCGTTGATGACTACACTACAAATCAAATACTCCATTAACAAAAAAGCGCTTTTGGAAAAGCAATATTCTATTGCTCATCAGGAATTGGTTGACTCTGTGGTTAAACTTATAACAGATTGCAAGTTATGAAGCAGACACAACAGCAAAGTGACTGATTTCTACAGCACGGTGGCTCAGTGGTTAGCACTGCTGCCTCACAGCATTAAGGACCCAGGTTGAATTCAAACCTTGGGTCACTGTCTGTGTGGCATTTGCACATTCTACCTGTGACTGTGTGGGTTTCTACCAGGTTCTCTGGTTTCCTCCCACGGTCCAAAGATGTGCAGGTCATCTCAGGATGGCAGCTGGTCACAAGTGGTGTTCCACAAGGGTCAGTGTTAGGACACAACTTTTCACTTTATACATTAATGATCTAGATGAAGGAACTGAGGGCATTCTGGCTAAGTTTGCAGACGATACAAAGATAGGTAGAGAGACAGGTAGTATTGAGGATGTGGGGAGGCTGCAGAAGGCTTTGGACAGGTTAGGAGAATGGACAAAGAAGGGGCAGATGGAGTACAACGTGAGAAAGTGTGAGGTCATGCACTTTGATACCAAGAATAGAAGCATGGACTATTTTCTAAATGGGGAGAAAATTCAGAAGTCTGAAGTGCAAAGAGACTTGAGAGTTCTAGTCCAGGATTCTCTCAATATAAACTTGCAGGTTGAGTCAGTAGTTAGGAAGGCAAATGCAACTTTGGCATTTATTTTGAGAGTTTTGGGCCCCATTTCTCAGGAAAGATGTACTGACCCTGTACCGGGTTCAGATGAAGTTCACAAGAATGGTCCCAGCAATGAAAAGCTTAACATATGAGGAAAGTTTTAACACTCTGGCTCTATACTCAGTGGAGTTTAGAAGCATGAGGGGAGTGATCGAATTGAAACTTACAGAATACTGAATGGCCTGGACAAAGTGGATGTTGGGAAGGTGTCTCCATTGGTAGGAGGGACTAGGACCTGAGGGCAAAGCCTTAGAGTAAAAGGAAGACTTTTTAGAACAGACATAAGGAGAAACTTCTTCTGCCAGAGAGTGGTGAATCTATGGAATTCACTGCCACAGAGGCAGTGGAGGCCAGGTCATTGAGTACATTTAGGATGGAGATAGATAGGTTCTTGATTGTCAAGGGGATCAAGGGTTACAGGGAGAAAGTGGGAGATGGCGTTGAGAAACTTGTCAGCCATGATTGAATGGTGGAGCAGACTCGATGGGCTGAATGGTCTAATTTCTGCTCCTATGTCTTATGGTCTTATGGTCTTCCGGAATGCCCGTGTTAAATTGCCCGTAGTGTCCAGGGGTGTGCAGGTTAAGTGCATTAGCCATGGGAAATGTCCGGTTACAGGGAAATGTGGGCGGTTGGGTCTGGGTGGGATGCTCTTCGGAGGGTCAGTGTGGACTTGTTGGGTCAAATGGCCTGCTCCCACATGGTAGGGATTCTATGGAAAATACTATAAATGCTGGAAATCTGAAAAAAAAGAAAGAGCTGGGGAAGCTCAGCAAGTCTGGCAGCATCTGAGGAGAGAGAGAGAAACAGGCTCAATATT